AGAATAAAGCGAGCATCTCCAAGTGACTTGAGACTAAAACGCGCACCCAATGCCTCTGCAATACTCGACGCCTCTTCTTCGGCCGCACATCCGATAAGCAGATCATCGACATACAGGACGATGAAAACGGGTCCATTGTGACGAACTCGAACGAACAGGCAGGGATCCGACTTGCACTGCTTGAATCCCAGGGCGATGAACACACTTCGAATGGTCTTGTGCCACACAGCAGCGGCTTGCTTTAAGCCATAGAGACTGCGACGAAGGCGACACACATGCCTTCACGAACATTGAGACACTCAGGCGGCACCATGTACAATTCCTCTTCGAGGTCGCCGTTTAGAAAGGCCGTTTCAACATCGTACTGGTTCACCATGTATCCGAGCTGGCAGCACACCGCAAGAAAAATCCGCACCGTGTTGAGACTGGCAACAGGAGAGTAGGTAGATGTGTAGTCAACACCATACGTCTGGAAGCAACCGAGAGCAACTAAACGCGCCTTGTACCGGATAATGTTTCCGTGTTCATCGCGTTTAAGGGCAAAGACCCACTTGTGCCCGATCACTCGAACACCGGGCGGACGGTAAACTAAATCCCAAGTGTGGTTGCGCACATGAGCTCGGATTTCAGCGCGACACGCCTCCTTCCACTTGTCCGAGTCGGCAGAACGCATCGCTTCACGGAACGAGTTGGGAATACGTTCCGAGGCAGCAAGAGCAATCTCGTACTCGTCGTCAATTCTCGGGCGCTTGCTGTCCGGCTCACCAATGCTTCCGTCCGAAGTGTAGCCATCTCCCGTCGCATCTTGTCCACTTGTCGGATCGGTTTCGCCATTCTCCAGCAGCAGTCGTTCGGCTTCCCCAGTCTCTCTATTGCCTTCACTCGGTGGTAGCGCTGGCAATGACGGGGTTCTTGCTTCTTGAGCACTTGTCAGCAGACGCGGTTGGTGGGGCGCCGAAATACGAACTTGACGAGGTCTAGTTGGGCCAAACACGAGGCGATCGCTCAGCGAGGTTTCACCAGTGCGCATGGACGATGGAATCAGAGCTGATTGACGTAGAGAGGACTGGCTGGTGAGTTGTCGAGCAGCTGTAACGTTCGAGCTCGGCTCTGAAACTGGGATTTCAAGTGCTTCTCCCCCTCTGCGAGACATCTCACCTTCGCCACGGCGAACCAGTGCGTCTGGTACTGCATCGACTTCCATGTCGACGGGATCACCATCGACCTCGGTCATTTCAACGTCTCCGCTGTTGTCCGTCGCAGGCAAAACCGGTTGTTGTGGCTGCTGCGAGGTACTCACATCCTCGTCGAACTGCAACGGAGCCTGCCTCGTCACGTGAACCACAGTGCGATAGTTGTCAGCAGGACGCTCATTCAAGGTGATGGTCCTGGTAGTCACGATGCGCTCATCTTTAGCATCCCAAACGCGATAGGCCTTCGAGCCAGGAGCGTACTCGAGAAAGATGCATGCGTGAGCTCGGGCATCCCACTTGCTCCGACGTGACTTGTCAACGTGAACGTACCCTCTCGGTCCGAAGACTCGCAGGTAGCTCAGGTCAGGCTTGTGTCCGGCGAAAACTTCATGGGGAGTAGTTTGAGGGCGAGCAGTGTTCGGTACGCGGTTCGTCAAATACACAGCCGTACTCAGAGCTTCACCCCACCACTCACGAGCCATTCCGCGGTGGTACAACATTGAGCGTGCCATCTCAACCAGCGTGCGGTTCATACGCTCAGCGAGACCGTTTTGCTGCGGAGTGTGAAGCGTGGAGGTCTGGTGCACGATCCCATGAGCCGCGAAAAAGTCCCCAAACTTCTTGTTCACAGACTCTCCTCCGTTATCACTGCGCAAGCAGCGAATACGACGACCGGTCTGCGCTTCCACGAGCGCCTTGTACTCCACCAACCGAGCAAATACCTCCGACTTCGCCTTGATCAGATACATGTGCACGTAGCGAGAATAATCATCGACAAACGTCACTACGAAACGCGCTCCCCCTTTCGACTGAGGCTTCATTGGACCCATGACGTCGGAGTGTACGAGGTCCAGCAATCCTGCGGTCTTCACACTACTGCCGGACTGTCTTGCGAACGGGCTCACAGTCATCTTGCCACACGAACAGCCAGCACAGGGTACGTCAACTGGGACATCATCATCTTGACCAAAGCTCGGAACGCCCTCCGCAGCGCGCGACACCAACATCATCTTCTTCTTCGACACATGCCCCAGCCGCTCGTGCCACAAGCTGCCAGGCGACAGCTCCGCCGATGCTGCAACGTCCTTGCCGCGCTCCTCATCCGTCGTCGCCACCACGTTCCAGACAAATAATTTTCCCCCTTCTCCACACGCGCAACCAATCTCCCTTCAAAACTGATAGTGCACCCATTACCAGAGAACTCCACAGAAGCACCCTTGGCCACCAACGACGGAATCGACAGCAGTCTCCGGTCGAGGTCCGGAACATACAGTACTTCAGTCACCTTGATCAACCGGCCGCCGCCAATCAGGAAGCGCACAGTTCCCACTCCCATCGCGCGTAGGCGTTGTCCGCTGGCTACTACAATATCCGTCGGGCTCTGCAGCTATCGGAACTCCACGAAATCTTGCCGGCTGTGCGTCATGTGCGTGCTGGCCCCACTATCCAGCAGCCATGCCATCGATGCCTCCCTCGTCGCGGCGAACACAAACTCATCTCCGTCGTCCTTCTTACTGAGTGTTGGGCACTCTGCACGCTTGTGGCCGAACTGGTTACATTCAAAGCATCGCCCATCAAACCTCGACGCTCCACGACCTCCACGTGGTTGGCGCTGCTGGCCACCACCACGACGGCTTCCATGCCGCCCGCCTCCATGTCCATGCTGGCTTGCCTGGGTCCCGCGTGACCCTGCATTGTTCCGTCGTCTTGTGCTTCCATTTCCACCACGCGCAGACACGTTAAACGCTTCCTCTTGCTTCTCGCGTTTCTTGAGCGTCTCCGACTCGCGGCGCAGCATCTCCTTCGCATCCATCAGAGTCACGGATGAGTGAGCCTCAATAATCTTCACCATGGCGTCATACTAGCTCGACAAACTCCCCAGAAGAATCACGAGCTTCTCGTCGTCGCTCAGCTGGTCACCAACAGCCGAAAGTCGCAGACAGAGATCATCGAACTTCAGTAGGTGGCCCATCAAATCAGCCCCAGATGCCATTTGGAACTCGTGCAGTTGCTTCCGAAGCTGGACGCGGTTGTGAAGATTCTGCCTGACGAAGAACTCGCGCAGCGTTTCCCACGCATCCTTGGCAGACTTGGATTCTCGGATCATCGGCTGGTACACTGGACTCAGTAACTTCGAGATGACAGCCAGCGCCTTGAAATCGGCGGCTTTCCACGTCTCGGTCTCCCACTTACCTGCATCTTCTGGCTTCATCTCCACGTGGTCCAGCAGGTCCTTCCTCGCGAGTGCCATGCGGCAGTTGAATTCCCACAGGAAATAGTTGTCCTCGCGCAGCACGTCGTTAGGACCCAGCGTATTTGGGCTCATAACCAAAAACGACTTGAACTCTTCTTTTGCGATGCAGTGTAGAATGGAAAGTGAGATTGAATCAAAAGCTTTACCTACGAGACCTTAGCAGCTCGCTCTAGTTCCTACAATCTAGAACCCTGACAAACTTGATCAGCGCTTCGCGAAGCTTCGACGACCATCACTCTCTGCAACATACAAGTTGCCCTTGTGTACAGCAAATAATCTGTGACGTGGTGCTGCAGCTCACCAAAATAATCTTCAAGAAGAATACTGGATGTTTGCGTAGATAGATATTTTTTACAGAAATGCGTTGCTGTTATCCTTTCGTTTTAATGCAACTTGCGTGTGATTCTAGCAACTCGCGAGCGTTCATCTTTGAATTTGTTGCGGTTTAGTTGGCTACCTACTCACGGAGACGCGCACTGCTGCATCCCCGCCTACGGTGATCGTATCGCGAGCGTTTATTCATTTAGTCGATTCTTCAGCACCCGAAAAAATAATCTTCATAAAAATACATTTGAATTTTATAATTGAATGATTAATTTCTTGAAAGTGCTGAATTATTGTTAGAATTCTTATCAGTTCCTCGCAACTTAAGATTAAGAAATACAGGTTTAGCTAACCTTCTCAGTCTTCTAGCTCACAGAAGGCATAAGAACGAAAGACTAACAGGGTTCGCAGTTGGAGCACTACTCGTTTACTCCTTTGCTAATTATATAGAAAATTATTCTGGATTCACAAAAGATTTAATTATTAACTTCTGCTCGAATAGATAAGTATTAATCCAAGAATTGCATTCTCGGGTGCCCTGCGATTCTTTACTAAAAAAAAATGAAGACTCACGCTTTTAAGTGAAGACTCCCGTTTAATAGCCCCGCGCAGTGTTCTCATCAACTATAATACTTAAAATCTCGTGGGCAGAGCAAAAATGTATGGTATGCTCGTGAGCAGGTCAACTTGTTGAGGGGAAGAGCGTGGCTGCATCGGCTGCTAGTGCCGAACCACCCTAATTGATGGCGCTGGGGGGCGGACTCGTGCGTCGAGCTTCATTTCGAGCCACGCTGGTGTTGCGTTGAGGAGGCATATGGAGGAAACCATGCCCAGCCGATCGTCTCACATATCGTTATAAACGGGTAAATCGAATTATTTCGCGCCGACGTCCAAGCCATTTCCTATTCAAGCTCAAAAGCTACTTCTCAATATCGCGGGCTTTCACATTTATAAGCAGGTTCAACCTCTCACACGTGAACTTTGTCAAGACATCTAAGACCCACTGACGCCAGGCGTCAACTCCAGATTGACGTGATTATTCGCCGTCCCTGAGAGCGGCCACGACTGCTTAGCGGCATCCTCTACTGATGCACAAGGAGTCCCGACTCCGGTGGCGGGCCCTGAAGGGCTCCTTCACTTCGCGTGCCATCCCCAATCCCATTCCGGAATTTACTTTCGATAGCGCATTGCCTCTTCCTTCTCCTTCTCCACCTCCACTACCATCTCACATGAAGATTGTCGCCCCCATCCTCGCCGTTGTCGCTCTCGTGGCCTCCGCCGTCTCCGCTTCGCCCATGATGCGCCAAGTGAACGAGTCGTCCAGCAGCTGCACACTGTCGGGCACCTACGCCAGCGGCACGGACGTGTCATCGTGCAGCACCATCAAGATCGGCTCGCTGACGGTGCCTGCCGGAGTCACGCTGGACTTGAGCGACGTTGCGGACGGCGCCACCATTGAGTTCACGGGCACGACGACGTTCGAGACGTCCGAGTGGGAAGGCCCGCTCAACCCTCTCACGGGCACGGACCTGACTGTTGGCGGCACCGGAACTCTGGATGGCCAGGGAGACTGGTACTGGGAGAAGGGCACGTCCATCGACCGCCCCGTCTTCTTCCGCATGAGCAAAGTCATCTCCTCCACGGTGTCGGACTTCACCATCAAGAACTCGCCCTACCGCACCTTCAGCATCCTCAGTTGTGAGTCTACCACCATCAGTGGACTCACGCTCGACTCGAGCGCGGGTGACGACACTGCTAAGAACACGGACGGCTTCGACCTGAGCAAGAACACGGACGTCACGATCTCAGGCAACACCATCTACAACCAGGACGACTGCCTCGCCATGCAGTCCAGCACCAACACGGTCTTCTCCAGCAACACCTGCAGTGGCGGACACGGCATCTCTATCGGCTCCATCGGTGGGTCCTCCGTCAGCTCTTCGGACACGGTCTCGGGTCTGACGGTCAAGAACAACAAGATCATCAACAGCGTCAACGGTATCCGCATCAAGACCATCATCGACGACTACGGAACGGTGGAGGACGTGACGTACACGAGCAACACGCTGTCGAACGTCGAGAACGCCATCGTGATCCACGGCGACTACAGCAAGTCCAAGGGCGGGTACACGGGCTCTGCTACGAGTAAGGTGACGATCTCGGGGATCACCATCGACGGCCTGACGGGCTCAGCCGACACGGTGTACGACATCCTCATCGACTCGGACGTTGCGTCGGACTGGTCGTTCTCGGGTATTGATGTATCTGGTGACACGGGCAGCTGCAGCGGCGAGCCCAGCGGTATCAGCTGCTAAACCAAAATGCTGTTGTAGACTCCAGCCTGTGAGTTGTTTCGCGTGACGTACGAATCGTGGAAGTAGCAGAAGAGGAATGTCTTCGTAGTCTTGTCTAGGTCAGTGAACGAAGAGAATACATTGATGTCTATGTTCATATTTTGAGTCGTTCAAATTGAGGGGTAGTTGCACAAAACCTGCAAAGGGCTCCAAACCCCTGGGAGTATAATAGTTAAGACATCTAAGAAAGTGTATTTATCGGACTGCAACCGCCTAACTACCAACAAATTTGAGACGAAACGAATGAGGTATATGCTGGCCCGCAGCATGTGGTAGAGCACCAGATCAACAACAGCAACGTTGCTGTAGTTCTGCACTGCGCATCAGCCATCTGCAACGCGAGCTGCTCAGCACTTGACGGTGCTGGGCTGGCCGCTGCAGGTGCCCGTCTTGCTCGCCTTGACCGTGACGCCCGAGAACTTCCAGTTGGACACGACCTTGGAGTTGGCCACGATGTCGTAGAGGTTGGTGGCCGTGCCCGAGAGGCCCGATATGGTGACGCCCTTGATGGTGACGGCGCTCGTGGCCTTGCCGGTGTAGCCGCCCTTGGACTTGCTGTAGTCCGAGTGGATGACGATGGCGTTCTTGACGTTGCTGAGCTTGTTGTCGGTGTAGGTGACGTCCGAGACGAGGCCCTTGAGGTCGACGATGGTCTTGATGCGGATGCCGTTGACGCTGTTGACGATGGTGTTGCCCTTGACCGTGAGGCCCGAGACCGTGTCGGCCGAGCTGACGGTGGATCCGCCGAGCGATCCGATGGAGATACCGTGGCCGCCGCTGCAGTAGTTGTTGCTGAAGACCGTGTTGGTGCTGGACTGCATGGCGAGGCAGTCGTCCTGGTTGTAGATCTTGTTGCCCGTGATGGTGACGTAGTTGTTCTTGCTCAGGTCGAAGCCGTCCGTGTTCTTGGCCGTGCCGTCGCCCGCGCTCGAGTCGAGCGTGAGGCCGCTGATGGTGGTCTTCTGCGAGTTGAGGACGCTGAAGGTGCGGTAGGGCGAGTTCTTGATCTTGAAGCCCGAGAGCGTGGACGAGATTACGTTGTTGAGGCGGAAGAAGACGGGGCGGCTGATGGACGTGCCCTGCTTCCAGTACCAGGCGCCCTGGCCGTCGAGCGTGCCCGCGCCGCTGACCGTGAGGCTGCGAGGCTGCTGCCGCCGAGCAGCACGAGTGAGCCGGCCCACTTCTTCTGGCCGAACGTGACGGTGCCGGAGATCTTGATGTTGGCGCCCGTCTTGGCCTTGCTCAGGTCGAGCGTGACGCCGGCGGGCACGCTGAGCGTGCCGATGGTGAGCGTGCTGCAGGACGAGATGTCGGTGCCGGCCTTGTAGGTGCCGGAGAGCGTGCAGGTGGAGGCCTCCTGCTCCTGGCGCATCATGGGCGAACAGCGGTGGCGGCGAGGAGGGCGAGCGCGGCGAGGACGGTGGAGAAGAGCTTCATGGTAGCTGCTGGGCTGGTTGTCGAGTTACCTTGAGACGGTAAAATGAAGAGTGAGACTGGACCAGTGAGAGGAGCTTATGAGCCGGGAGTCTCAAGCTCAATAAATTCAAACCCCGGGCTGACTAGGTCACGATATCAGAGCAGTGACCTCGAGTGTCAGCAACTTGTTGTGCATGTTCGTCGTGGCAGTTCGCCTACAGTAGAGGCAAGGCGGGTCAGGTGGGAGTGGGATACGTTTTGCTGTTTTTTGGTGCGTCCGCCGTCGTCGGGCTGTTCGACACCTGCACTCGGATTCACAACGACCGGGTACGTGAGCCCAGCGTCCCACCCCAGGTGGCAATTCGGCGAGCGTGCGGAACATCCTGTGTTCCGAACGGATCTCGCATTGAACAACCGATATCACGCTGCATGAAGCATCTTCGTAGTACACTACAGTGCAGCACCCAGAGCTGCGCGTCGTATTGTTCTGTTGAAGTGTTACCAACTACACAAGCGGACCTTGCAGCACGATCTCTGCTGCACGCAGTCCAACACGACCCACGACCAGCGTTGTTCTTCACCAGTCGCGTTCTTCAATAAAAAACCCCGGAAAATATTGCATTGATGTTGGTCTTTGCTAGTGGCGACACCAGGTTGGTGATCGCCTTGACACGGATGTTATTTCGCGTACAGATCCACAAACGGTGGGGCGATTCTACAGTACAGTAGAACCACTTAACCGCCAGTGAATTAACAATAGCCAGATACAATCCGCATTGCGGCTAGTGCAGGAGAACTTTGCTGTATCTTAGTGTGGCGCATATACTGAATACCGGACGCCTGATATATATAAGGTCTCCAAGAGTATAAGGTGAATCCGATTGGTTAAGAAAAAGGAATGTATTGATATTATTTAGCTCGTCAAGAAACCTTGTTAATAAGGCCCGAGCAATGCTGTATGGTATCAACAGTAACCTTCGACCAGGCGTCCTCGCAGCAGCCCACTCCGCGATCTCCGCGTAGGACATGCTCGGTGAGCTCTCCACCTTGGCAATGATGCGGAGCTTCTGTGCGTGAGTGAGGCGGGGTCTTTTGCTAGAAGTGGGGGTCTTGGGCATGGTGGCTTGGTAGTTTGAGGCTTTGATCGCAAATGAGGAACGCTTTTAAAGGAAAGCGAAAGCGCGCCAATATTCAAATTACCGAGATTAATGGATTTTTAGCTCAGTACCTTTGCTCATCACCATCTCGTCACATCGTAGGCCCAGATTTATAAACTATACAAGGGTATTAGCTGTAGACCCGTCCGGTATTCACGCACATTACTGTACATGTTCATGTCGATCTTTGCGATCCTTCTTGGTGGCGGGCCGCTCTATGAGCGCGCGAGCGTGGTGAGCTTCATTAGAGCCGAGAAAAGTGGCAAGGATTGTGAGCTTCTGGTCGCGATTGATTTGCAGACCGCGCGGGAGGCGGCTCTTGTGTCATACAAGTTGTGTGACATCATCGACGTTGTTTTGCAGTATTTGCAGGCATAAACAAACTAGGCACTTAGTACATAAACAATCCAAAGTACCTAAATGGAGTTTTCAAAATGTCCTTGTTTAAGAGAATAGCTTCAATATAGTAAATAGTGGTCCATTGATGGTTATGTCGTTGTTACATGTATTTCTCGGTGCTTTTATCTTATCTAGCGCAGTAGCAACTGGGCTAGAACTACTAGAACCACTTTCCGTCGCCGCTACAATAACCACTGCCACCACCCTCCTCCCGTTACTTTCGTCACTATTCAAGCTTCGCGCCAATATAATTCGTGCTAGCTCGACCTCCCTCTGCTCTGTGCATTTGGCACGCCAATGAAGCTCTCATACATGACGGCGCATTCCGCGGCAGCCGTACCTGCCAAATTATGAGATGGAGCTGGGTCGACCAGGCAATCGTAACAGACCAATATACCAAAGTAAGTATTTTAAATAATAAACTAACTACATGTAACCTGGCAATCGACTTATTATCAAATCTTCGTTACCTTACATTGGCTTGTGGATACCACAGAACGAGCAAGGAGCAGCTACACTGTACCTGCGCTCTGTTGCGCATCATGGAATTTATCCGATATTATGGGTAACAACAGCTCTCTAGCTTGGTGGACCTGGCATCACCACCACACAGACTGAAATTCTTGATCGACGCAGTGTCGGGACTACCCGTGAATTAGTCCCGGTGTGACAACGCTTCACACTCGGCCCCATGAATATATCTCTTGCCAGGAACACAAACACTGTTGATAGCGACTTGTCTCTAAATCATATGCTTCACTTGCCATACTAATATATAGATCTTTGTATGGTGCCTAATTCAAGATTTCCAAAGTGCCGATTTCAAGTCCAAATGGGCATTAGACACAATATCCTAGTTTGTTGATGCCTGAGTATTTGTCGGAGCTCTTGGGAACGCGTACGGAGTCTCGATTCCGATCTATCTCCAATTTCCCCCTTAAAGTCTCATAGAGTACAGAAGGTGGCGCCTTAGAGGGACGGCATATAACTGATCACCTCTAATAACTACTATCATATCATAGGATTGCATACTAATTCTCTATACCCCAACCCCCAATACTAAAATCCCCGTCTATGATGAATATATCAGGTGTCTCTCTAAGGCGCCACCCTCTGTATATCTAGCTACAAAATGCCAGAAGCTCGTTCTTGTCGAGGCATCGAGCTTTGAGACAGGTCCACTCGTTCGTTTTCCCGACTGGCGAGATGATTTGATAGTCGCGCCGGTGTATAGCACGGCCACAGCACTTCAACAAACTCGCATGGAGTTTTGCTGTATTGTGGCATTCTGTAGGCAAAATGACATCAGAAGCTTGAACTCACGCCGCTCTCAGCCAAGCAGTAGACTTCCCCTCTGTTCGGGGAGAATTCATGCTCTGGAAAGAGCTGCAAATCGCATTGCAAACACTAATGAATGGGCATCAAGACAATCGTGCAAGGACATCCCTACCACCAAGCATCCTTGAAGACCATGCCATTGTGCAAGAAGTGCACCGATAACATCTATTCTCAAGTCCCGCGAAGCTTTTCACTTCATTTTTCATTTTACCGTCTCAAGGTAACTCGACAACCAGCCCAGCAGCTACCATGAAGCTCTTCTCCACCGTCCTCGCCGCGCTCGCCCTCCTCGCCGCCACCGCTGTTCGCCCATGATGCGCCAGGAGCAGGAGGCCTCCACCTGCACGCTCTCCGGCACCTACAAGGCCGGCACCGACATCTCGTCCTGCAGCACGCTCACCATCGGCACGCTCAGCGTGCCCGCCGGCGTCACGCTCGACCTGAGCAAGGCCAAGACGGGCGCCAACATCAAGATCTCCGGCACCGTCACGTTCGGCCAGAAGAAGTGGGCCGGCTCACTCGTGCTGCTCGGCGGCAGCAGCCTCGCAGCCTCACGGTCAGCGGCGCGGGCACGCTCGACGGCCAGGGCGCCTGGTACTGGAAGCAGGGCACGTCCATCAGCCGCCCCGTCTTCTTCCGCCTCAACAACGTAATCTCGTCCACGCTCTCGGGCTTCAAGATCAAGAACTCGCCCTACCGCACCTTCAGCGTCCTCAACTCGCAGAAGACCACCATCAGCGGCCTCACGCTCGACTCGAGCGCGGGCGACGGCACGGCCAAGAACACGGACGGCTTCGACCTGAGCAAGAACAACTACGTCACCATCACGGGCAACAAGATCTACAACCAGGACGACTGCCTCGCCATGCAGTCCAGCACCAACACGGTCTTCAGCAACAACTACTGCAGCGGCGGCCACGGTATCTCCATCGGATCGCTCGGCGGATCCACCGTCAGCTCGGCCGACACGGTCTCGGGCCTCACGGTCAAGGGCAACACCATCGTCAACAGCGTCAACGGCATCCGCATCAAGACCATCGTCGACCTCAAGGGCCTCGTCTCGGACGTCACCTACACCGACAACAAGCTCAGCAACGTCAAGAACGCCATCGTCATCCACTCGGACTACAGCAAGTCCAAGGGCGGCTACACCGGCAAGGCCACGAGCGCCGTCACCATCAAGGGCGTCACCATATCGGGCCTCTCGGGCACGGCCACCAACCTCTACGACATCGTGGCCAACTCCAAGGTCGTGTCCAACTGGAAGTTCTCGGGCGTCACGGTCAAGGCGAGCAAGACGGGCACCTGCAGCGGCCAGCCCAGCACCGTCAAGTGCTAAGCAGCGCGGGTTGCAGAGTGCCGCATGGTGCCGCGTGGGCTACAGCAACATTGCTGGGTTCCTCTTTACATTACGCTCAGGCTAGCGTATATTTTGTGCGTTAAAGAGGCGGTGATTGTCCGCGTGTAAAGCAATATCTGGCCGTCTCGTTTGTTTAGTTGTTAATTGGGCGAGTGCAGCCCAATAAATACATTTATTGTAAGTACAACGTGACATGATTCAGTGCTATGGTCTGATGTCAGCAGCAAACTACAGTACTTACATGTAGCTCGTGGAGCTCGAACAGCAAAAGTTGAGCATTTTTTACATGCGAGTACATTCATTTTATTCGAACCATACTTTGAAGTATTTTCTTTTCCTGGGCTTTTGAACACCACACTATCCTTCGTCGACATGTATCAGACACGAACCGCCTTAGCAGGTGATGCCACTGGGCTGGCCCTTACAAACGCCCTTTGCCCCTGTCACGGTGATGCCCTTGAACGTCCACCCCGACACAGCGCTGGGGTTCACCAGGATCTCGTAGATCTGGTCGACCGAGCCCCGAAGCCCGTCGACCGTGATCTCGGAGATCGTCACCTGGCTGGTAGCGGCGCCGGTGTAGGCACCGGCCGACCTGCTGTAGTCCGAGTGGATCGCAATGGCGTTCTCCACGTTCTGCAGCTGGTTGTTGATGTACTTGACGTTGGTGACGCGGCCCTTCGCTCCAACTAGAGCCTTAATGCGAAGGCCGTTGTCGCTGTTGACGATGGTGTTGCCCTGGACGGTGAGTCCGTCCACTGTGGTTGACTGGTCGACCGCTTCTCCACCGATAGACCCGACCGAGATGCCGTGACTGCCGCTGCAGAGGTTGTTGTTGAAGATTGTGTTGGTGCTCGACTGCATGGCCAGGCAGTCGTCCTGGTTGTAGATCTTGTTGCCAGTGATAGTCACGTGGTCATTCTTGCTCAAGTCGAAGCCGTCCGTGTTGTGAGCACGTCCGTTACCCGCGCTCGAGTCGAGCGTGAGGCCGCTGAGCTTCGTGTGCTGGCACGTCACGATGCTGAACGTGCGGAAGGGCGAGTTTTTGATGATGAAGCCCGACAGGTTCGAGCTAATTGCGCTCTGCAACCTGAAGAAGACAGGGCGCGTGATAGACTCACCCTGCTTCCAGTACCAGTCGCCTTGACCGTCCAGCGTTCCGGAACCCTTGACGGTGAGGGAGTTGCCGCTGACCGAGATTAGCGGACCAACCCACTGCGTCGTTCCGAAGGTGGTGGTGCCCGTGAAGTTGATCGTGGCGCCGTCCTTCGCCTGGCTCAAGTCCAGGGTGACGCCGGCTGGGACTGTGAGAGGCCCGACATTGATCGTGCTGCAGGACGAGATGTCCGTGCCAACCTTGTACGTGCCTGTGAGGGTGCACGGGTCGCCGGCCTCGACTTCTTGACGAATCATGGGGGATCCGGAGGCAACGGCAGTAAATAGCACAACTGCGGCGAAGGTGGAGGTGAAGATCTTCATGGCTTGGCGCGGGCGGAGTCTTGCAGTTCTTGTGTGTCGGTGGTGCTGCTGTTCCGGCGACAAATTGAGGAATGGCGACTTAATTTTTTTTCGTTCGCTGGAGGTTGAGTCAGGCCGGCCATACAATGCACGTGATCGGTCCGAGAAACGACGCCAAGCTGCGAAATGGGATGTGTCGTTGGACTTCCTCTCGCGCTGCTAATGCTACATGGCTGTGCATAGGTACACATGCACTCGAGGTGCTGTACAGTATCAATACTTGAAGTACATGTTAGTGTTGTATGGAGGCCTCACCAACATGTACCAGTAGTGAATAAGAAGGTGGCGTGTACTGCATCCGTTCTTATCCATAAAACTGGTAAACAAAGTTAATTTTTCTTAGTAAATTTACCAGGCACAGGGGATCCATGGAGCGCCAGTTTTCCCCAAAGATGCTTTGAAAAATAAAGTAAACTTGCGGTCATCGGCTCAGCGATATCCACGCAACGTGGGTGCAACATTAACGCAAATTCTGATGAGTCTGTAGCTGCTACGGTAGCAAAACCACGAACTAGCAAATCGTGGTCCGCCTCAAGGGCGGAGATAATTCGATACATTTCGTTCGCACGTAGAGACAAAAGGCGCCATCCTTCAATCCGTCTGTAACAAGTGTTTTCGACGAGTACAGACAACGACGGCAACGCAAAACCCGGCACACATATGTTGTACTTTTTACAATAAGTAATTCAGATAGCCAATCAACTTCGAGATTTACACTTGACATTTGTATTCCATATGGTTTTAAGTACTTTATCTAAATTTTTGTGTACTTTATGCTCCGTTACGTGTATTTTATGTCACTGCCTTGTACAGTCTCTATCGTTCCTGACAGAGAATTCTGGCACATTTACTATGGAGGATGCCATTCAGTGGTGCCGGATTTATCCGTCGTTGTCTGTAACCCCTTGTTGTTTCGTACAGTAGCAAAAATCACCACACAAGTCATTTCATTTTATTTGAGCGAGTTTTCAGCAATATTGTGGATCACTCACTGGAGTCAAGAAGAAAACTGGTGACATTGCGGTAGACTTTGGTCCTCTCCTATTGCCGTGGGCAGCAAGCTGCGGCAAACAACAAGCTGACGGGCATGTGAACTTGCTATTCCACGTTCGCGTCGATCTTAGTCGTTTAGTCGCCTTTGCTTTCGTACGACGTGCCCCCAGCTGTTGAAAAGACGACGCGCACCACCAGTACCTAAGAATGGGGGGGGCGACTGTCCAGTCAATCCTTGTTGGCGTGCTGAATGCACGAAAGTGAGCGAGTGTATCCTCGCTTGCTTCGGCCAGTAGACGTGCGCGCAGAACGTAGAATCTGACGCATGTTCGATTCACAAAGTCTACAACGCGAAGTCACGAGATATTGCTGGGATTTAAAAGGGTGTTAAAGTCTCTGAATTTGCGGATAGCCACACCGCACACCACTGTCGTGCTACACAACGCCCACGAGTTTCTTCTGCTCGTTTCAGTCTTTTCTAAACATCGAGATAATTCTCTGGTTAGCAAGTGATGCCATTCGGTTGACCCTTGCAGACACCCTTGGCACCCGACACCGTTCACTGTGATGTCAGTGATAGTCACCTGGCTGGTCGGTGCCCCCGAGTAGGAGCCCTTTGACCGGCTGTAGTCCGAGTGGATGGCAATGGCGCTCTCCACGTTCTGCAACTTGTTGTTCAGGTACTTCACGTTGGAGACAAGGCCCTTAAGTCCGATGACGGTCTTGATACGAAGACCATTGTCGCTGTTAACGATCGTGTTGCCCTCGACCGTCAGACCCGCGACTGTTGTCGATTCGTCGACGGCGTTGCCGCCCAGCGATCCGATGGAGATGCCGTGGCTGCCGCTGCAGTAATTGTTGGTGAAGAAGGTGTTGGTACTGGACTGCATAGCAAGGCAGTCGTCCTGGTTGTAGATCTTGTTGCCGGTGATTGTAATATGGTCGCTCTTGGTCAGTCCAAAGCCGTCCGTGTTCTTTGCGAGGCCGTTGCCGGCACTGGAATCAAGCGTGAGCCCGCTGACGGTTGTGTCTCGGCATGTGAGTCACATGATGTGACCAGACTAAACGTGCGAAATGGCGAGTTCTTGAGAGTAAACCCCGACACGTTTGAGTCAACGACATTCTGCAGCTTGACGAAGACTTGGCGGGTGATCGACTCGCCCTGCTTCCAGTATCATGCACCTTGGCCGTCCAACGTGCCGGAGCCCTTAACTGTGAGGGAGTTTCCACTCACACGCACAAGCGGGCCCTCCCACTTGGCCGTACCGAAGGTAGTGGTGCCCGTGAAGTTGATAGCAGCCCCCGCCTTTGTTTTGCTCAAGTCCAAAGTGACACCAGCTGGAACAGTGAGAGGCCCGACAGTGACGGTGTTGCAGGACGAGATGTCGGTCCCCGCCTTGTATGTCCCAGTGAGGTTGCATGGATCGCCACCCTCGGCTTCCTGGCGCATCATTGGCGTGGCGCTGGCGGTTGAAGCGATGAGTCCAAACGTGGCGAGTGCGGTGGTGAAGAGCTTCATGGCGCGTGAGGATTGGTTTGGTTTGATTTAGTTGGACTGCTGTGGCCGCAAATCCGAAAGTGAGGAAGAAAGAGGGGCCATCTTTAGAGGAGTGTTGTTGAGGCCGTGCCGGAGAGGCACAGTATTGTGTCGAGGGACATGAAATACGCGCCTTCGTGAGCTTAGATGTTCAAGGGGATACTGTACATGTATTCTGCATCGTAGAATACATGTACAGTATCCCCTTGAACATCTAAGCTACATATAAACTTCGTTGAAGATATCGCTGCCGATACATGTACAGAAGGTGGCGCCTTGGAGGGACGGCATATAACTGATCACCTCTAATAACTACTATCAATTCATAGGATTGCATACTAATTCTCTATACCCCAACCCCCAATACTAAAATCCCCGTCTATGATGAATATATCAGGTGTCTCTCTAAGGCGCCACCCTCTGTATACACTTGAGCGCGTCGTCTGCTTCTGCTCGATTGGACACACCGCGCGAGTTTTAGCTGAACAGCCAACGAGTGGGCAAATCGAAGCGATTGAATGCCGCCTCACGACAGCCACAGCCCGCGGATTTCGTCTAACCGTACAGAGAAAAGATGGCAACAACTGGTTTTACGGAATCGAGTTGGGATCAAATAGCTTCATTACAATACTCGTTAAGTGTACATGTATTGTGGAGGTGCCCACACAACTCTGCTTCGGGGTGCCTATTCGCTTTATAGCTTTCTTTCACACCTCATAAGCGATGAAAACTCTCTAAAAGAGAACTGTACGCCTCGTCACTGGCAACGACGAACGCGCCTTATCTCGCACGTGCGCTAGTCGTTTACAGACAACGACGGAAAAATCCGGCGTGACTGACTGCCATCCTCCATAGTTCAGGAGTGTAACACAAAATACGGCACAGATAAAAAAGAAAAACATGATTGGCTAAAAGGTTGCGTAACTGTTCAAAAACAAAACACAAATCCGAATGTTCTGCAAAAAAGCTGCATTTTATTCAAATGCTAATCTCAGGATACTGAGGAATAGCTGCCTTAAAGCTCCTAATTACAGTGCTTTCGGGGATGGCATCCCAAGTAGCAATCGTAGCGCGAACGACACGGAGCCGCTTTTCCTTAGCACTACCACCCGTGATGCCAGACCAGTTCGAGCGCAACTTTGCCTTTAGTGGCCCCATTACACCGACATCCAGCGGCTGGCAAGCAGCCGTGTTGTTTGCGGGTAGAGGGACCACAGTAGCATTAGCAACTTCAGCAACGACCCGCTGCCCCTCTTCCGACACATGACACTCAAAGTTGTCAAGAAGGAGGACAGCGGGTCCATCAACTTCATATTTTAACAACTTTTCTACGTAAAAACGCCACGTAACAGCGTCCATCTAAGCGTTCTCTTGGACGGTGTAGAAGTTTCCTTCCGGATACTCTTCGAACTCGCTTGTGTCGATTCGACCGCCACGCAGAACAAACAGAATCGGCAGCTTTATCCCTAAAAATAGTATAACAAATACAAATTAGCCTTAAAAAATAAAAATTAAGAGAACAACAAAAAGGAAAACTTACCATCAGCTCGAATCGTGAGTACAGCCGTCATGCGGCCGGTGTGCTTGGACGTGTTCGCAATCCTCGCAGCGTCCCGCCGACCTCTACCCGCCCACGTCCGAGCCGGAGGCATGTCAAAAATGATGGCAGTCTCGTCCACGTTGTACATGCCCTCCGGCCCGTACGCGGCGTGCGTCTTCCAGAAGTCCAGCGCGAACTCGGCGCGCGTTTGCTGTAGCTCCTCGGTGCTTTTCTTTGCCGTTTGTGGCTTCTGGGAGGTAAAACCATGCCTAAACACGTAAATAAAGGTAAATGTTAGGAAACGGATGGAGTTTTAGCAAAAACAAAATTATTTATCGAATTGCGAGTCTCTCGGCCACGCGCTCAAGCGCCAGGATGCCGCTCCGCTTCCTTTGCAGGTAGTCCTCGACCCACTTGAACTCGATTGCCCACATGAAGGACATAATGCCACGTGTAGTGAGGGCCTGTACATTATAGCATAAAGTTTAACGGTTAAACGCTACAAATTATGAAATTCTAAAAAAAAACTTACCTTCTCTTCGCGCCGCACGTCCTTCATGAAGGTGACGACCGCAGGAATGTCGGGAAATACTTCCCTGCGGCCCTAGCCCTTCAGGGACTTAGAGGTGGAGTGGCCAGTGAAGCTAAAAAGCTTTTCAGTTTGCTTCCACCAGCCATAGACAGTGCCCCGAGCAAGTTGGAGCTCGCGGGCTGCCTCCTCCACCCCTACATCTTCGACGAGGCGGACCGCTTCGCGCTTCTCGCGGACGGTGTAGCTCTTCTGCTTCTTCTTGGGCGGCGGCGTGTCCTCCATGGCTCGAAAAACAGTTTGAGCGGCTCAGTCGACCAGCTCCAAATTAGGCAATGACACACGGGGATTTACCAGAGCCATTCAAAAATTAAATCGCGGTGATTGGCTAATTTTTACGAATAAAATAAATTTGATTGGACAAAATCATCGCTCGTTTTGTATGGACATGTCTATGGAATGCTGGGTTTTGCGTTGCCGGATTTTTCCGTCGTTGTCTGTAGTCGCCTTTAATCGCCACATTCGTGTCGTCACTCTTCCTGCATGGCTGCATGATCTGCTTTTCGAAGAAACGTCTTTCTGAACAAATTATAATACAAAATATACGACATTTTGAAACATCGTATTTTACTGTTAATTAGAATATAGAAGCATTTTTATACGTTTTCTACTTGAAATGCTTTAATTTTAAAATTGAAAACGACACACTGTAAAAACTATTTTAAAAAAATACAGTACACAAAATTTACATTTTAATGGTCAAATTTTGTTCCTTTCTTGTAGTACAGTAATAGTAAGAGTAATAATAATAATTATTCATTTGAATCATTTATTGACATGTACTTAATTACAGTAATTTAAAGAAACCAATTAATATGAAGAGTTTAACTAAACATACCCATAATTGTGTTTGGACACCTACGATTCATTTTAACCGTAGTATTTTAATTGTAATATCATTACAATTAAAATTGTACGCATGTATTACGTAGAAAATTTTTGGTATTGGAACGCTTTGGGTTTAGTCCAGAATTCATTCAGCTCATGAGAAATTTACATGAAGGTACGACGGCACAATTTATGGTGAATGGCGAGCTCTTGGACCCTTGCGAAATAGCCTCCGGTATTCGTCAAGGCTGTCCTTTAGCACCCCTATTGTTCATTTTGGCAGCCGAGGTGCTTGGATTGGCCCTGGCACAGACGACTACTATACAGGGAATACCAGTGTCTGGTGACCACCTCAAGCGGGATCACCTATTCTCAGCGTTTGTGGACGACTCGACAGTGTTTGTACGAACGGCGAGTCAGGTACAACAAGTAATGGAGAAAGTACCGAGTTTGGATCATTATCGGGGTTGCACGTCCAGCCTTCTAAGAGCGTTTTCATCAGCCTTACCACTGCCATTGAACACAGGGAAACCCTAATGGGGATCCCGGTATTAAAACATGGTGATACAACCAGATGCTTGGGGTACCAAGTCGGAACTTTTCAGACCCACGATAAGAATTGGATACGAAAAATACAGCGGAGATTGGCAACTGCGTGTCGAGTGGCTACTTCTGTGGAAGATAGAGTCGCAATAGTGAACGCAATCGTGTTACCGGGGGTAACATTCACTGCCGCAGCTTATCAACTGCCAGGGTGGGCGGAACGTGAATTGTTAAGTATCCAGAAGAACTTTCTCTGGGAAGCGAGTACTGCAGTGGATGGAGGCCGCCACAAGATCAACCCTAGCCCAGTTTTCCTGCTGGGGGGCTGGGAGTCGTCTCGATACCATTAATCAAAACACAGCAAGCAACGCACGCACTTCTCTGGTTAACGCAGCGCCCCGATATTTAAACACCTGCATGGAAGTATTGGACGGGTCAAGAAACGGAGCTACCCACGAGACGAATATCGCCGCTCAACAGTAGCACCAGGCAGAAGAATTCGCACCTCGAAGACAAAGACTATAAGCTTCTCAGTCAATGGCTGCAGCCTTCAATGGAGGAGTCGCGGGAACGAGCCGATCGGGTTCGGCGCAATTATGATAGATTGTACGAAACCTGTACTAGTTGGTGGGACAGCTGTGAAAGCAAGAGGCTAGTCATTCAGTTTCACCGAGCAGAACCAACCGACCAGCTGAGCTGGCCAACGCCGATCAAAGTGTTTTGGAAAACCTTTCAATGGAGTGACAACCCGTGGATAGTGGGTCCCGGGGAGAAAATGCTAAGTGCAAATCGGTTCAACCGGATTGGCCGATGTATACAGTGCAGCGTTGCGTCAATTAACATTGAAAAATTGATTGAGATTTGCCGTGACGCTACAACTTTAATTGTACAATGTAGCCCTTGAATTGTATTATTGTGGTTTGTATAGGGGTCTGTATGGACCATTTGATTGGCTACCCACGCACATACAGTTATCAAGTCAACTGTCTTGTACAATACAATAAAATCATTGCAGCCAATTTTCTAATTGTAATTATTGACCCCAATTTTATCAATAGTTTTATTGCAGTTTTTATTTACGCAACACTGGTACAGTGGGCGATCTCCAGATACGAAAATAATCACCCGGTGAATATTCGATGAAAGTCCCTGCTAGTGCCATCACCGACGGCCAGTATAGACACTCAACACTGTGCCACTGGGCATTGACGATACTCCTAGCGACACCAACATTAAGTACCGAGTCAGAGGAGGGGCCGCCGATTAAGCTTCGGCACCCACCCGAATGCCTCAAGGATCACGAGTGGAAATTAACGACCGACGGGGTTGTGCTTGAACTTCGCCTGGGAAACCCCAACGAAATACGAGATGCAAATGCGTCCAGCTACCGAATGGGATCGATTGCTCGTTGGAACTACTGGATAAGGACTCAGCAGACGCAAAGCAAAGCCGAACTTGGGTCTAAACGGAAGGCGTAGTTTTTCAAGCGCATCCCGAGCTGCACCAGTTTCCGTGGACCAGTGACGATATCATTCTGAACCGTCGAGTGGTAAGCGACTCAAGAAGCAAGCCTTCGCGCGGGAAGCTGATAATGCATCCCAAATATGTGCCCAAATCGCCCCAAATGTCCCAAATAATGAATTGTCTCTGTAACATTTAGGTACATATTTGGGGCCAAGTATATGACTGCTTTCTCGTAAAACTATCCCAAATATGTACCAAAACGGAGTTGACTGATTATGATCTATAGTCTATGGGCGAGGGCGAGTGGACGCGAGCGCGAGCCTCACTCGATGCATTCACTAATCGCCAACACCCGCCGATTAGGCGGGGGCGTGTTTGTGCGAGCGAGCGAACGCGAGCGCTGCAACCTGATGTTTTTTTTCTAGACACCGCGCCTGGCCGAGACGAGGAACTTAGCGTAAGGGACAAGGGGGTGGGGTAGAAGGGGAAGGGGCCCCCCCCCCCCCCCCCCCCCCGAGCGAAGCGAGAGAGGGGCGGGCCCCCCGCAGACCCGTCGCTAAGTCCGCAGACGAGAGCCAACGCGCGAGTGTCCGCCCTGTGCTGCTCTTTCATACTGAAGGTTATTCTGTCCTAAATATGTACCAAAACGTTCCCATGGTCTTAAATCATTTGGGAAAAACTTTGGAATTTGGGGCGTTTTCGGGGTGCATTATCCAATACCTTCGCGCGCTATAAGCACGAGCTGCGTACAGGTATCTCTAGTCGACAGCCTCGAAACCCAGGCAAACTCAGATCCGTGGCAACGTAGCAGAAGCCACGTCGTTTGTGTAATCACGGCAATTCGCTCATACCATATCAAGTCTGGGTGGCATATAGGATGGCAGTTCGCCAGCTCAATTTCTATTTGATGAAAGGGAAGATGATAAAACGTGCCGCAAACTTGCAGCATGTTGTCGAACGAAGGAGACCCAAACGCACATTTTTTGGGAATGTCCGTGTGCTCGTCGCTGTTGGGAATGGCTAATTGGGCACTGGATGGGGGCTACGCCTTCACCTGCGGACCTAATAGGTTTCCGGGCACTGTGTGCATCACGCAAGGCACCCCCGATTTCGAAATCGCTTCAGTTGAGAATTGTGGAGCTCACTGGGGGCTATATCCAGCAGCATGTCGTGGGACTGGGCCGAATCTGGTTTATCCTGACCACAGTATGTTTCGCTACTCTGTGGACGCAACGAAATCGAGTCGTTTTTGAAGATGAAGAAACATCAGAGTCAAGTGTTGCGGAATTTCAAGTCGCCGGTACACGCCAGATACAGGCAGTAGCAAGACACGAGAGCCGAGATCCTAAAACGGCAGACAACGGTGCTGCGTTACAGCTGTGTTTGGATAGTTCTCTGAGTATGCCGACAAATCCGTCCAGGCAGACATTTCGACAAGCAGCCCCAGGCCTTTGCTGGAAGCAATCAAAACCAATCTAGGACTTTAATAATATGAACTATTAATAAATAAAGTATCTTCTACTATTGTGCTTTGCAATGATTTTGGCAATATGAGGCGATATTTGCTGTATTTATAGCGACCACCTGCTAGATTTACGATAAATCGAGGTGCATAGTTGGGTGGAAGCCTAGAATTACGCTAAAAGCGCCACAATTGCACTTTTGAAAGTGCAATTGTGGCTGTGCAGCTGCAATTCTGTCGGTTTTTATCCACAAGCACCTACACACACGGCAATTATGCATAAGAGGGTGGATATGCTGGGGATCATGGACGGTGGTGTACTGGGCCAATGCATGGCTGCTGACAGGCCCTCCCAAGTCGATATATATATGAGGAGGTGGATTTATCCATAATTTTAGCAGGTCGTGTATCTTTTTACACATATATTTAGGAGCAGGCTTTGCCATATTTAGCGTCTAAAATGGTCGGCAAAATCATTGCAAAGCACAATACTAGAATAAAAATAGATATCTTAACGTGGTAATCTATACCGAGCTTGGTAATCTATTTTCATGGCTACAGTACAAATGTTGAACAAGCTAACTTGTAAACTTGGGCGTTCAGGATTAATCAACACGCTGTAGATCGAGGAGTGCATCTAGCGAGGTAAATTTCGCAGGAAAATCTACCTCAACGTACTTCCTTTCAATTTATCGAAATGGCCCTCTACAGTAGATCGCCATCAAGATTATTACAGCATACTAGACTTAAAACCAACACTGGGTTTTTCTACACGCTCAGGCTGTTGGGCACGCCAGCCAGCTTGCCCTTGACCGACGCGCTCACCGTCACGCCCGAGAAGTCCAGGCCAGACACCACCTTCGGGTTCGCCACGATGTCGTACAGGTTGGTGGCC